AACATCAATGTGTACAACACATGCGTTAAGTCTGTATTACTCTATGGCTCTGAAATATGGCTAGAAACATGCTGAAATCAAACAAATACTGCAAGTATTTACTAATATATACCTGCGCAATATATTTAAGATCTGGTGACCTCGCGTAATTTCAAATGAAAACCTACGTCAACTAACAAGACAAGAAGACATTAATTCCCAGATAAGAAGACGTAAATATAACGAATCCACCAGACTCCCGAAGGTTCATTACCAATTGGTTCATTAGCACCAATTAAAAGCAAACAAATATACTAATCGATTAGATGATAACTCATTTACTTGTTTGTAATTCATATTAATCTGTGGACAACAAAAAGTTAAGATTTACTGAATATTATTGCATTACCTTTTAATAAACTCAAGTTATTATAACATTTTTTTGGTAACATATCATTACAACTATTACCAAAGTTGAGTTCTGCAAAAATAAAATACATTCCCAGATTTTTTTAAAATAATTTTTAAATACGGACATTTACATTTTAAAGTCACTTCGTCATTAATTTTATCTCTTGTTTAATTTGTATTCTATCCGAAGTATAAAAATAACTTTTTATTTAGATACTTATGAAAAAAATGTCCATTCTCACCTTAAATATTTAAGAAAATTGCATTTATATAATTGTTAAAATATAAATATTTAAGATAATTGTAAAATAAATGTTACATTGAGTCTTATAAAATTATATTAGTATGTTACGCCTAACAACCTATAATTTGCTTTAGTGGTATACCTTCTAATTTTATAAAAGTAATAATAATTCTATATCTCATTTCAACTCTTCTTATCAAGAAAACGCTTAAACGATTGCTTTAATATTACATATTTTATGTATTTTTATTTCTCGCTTAAGGAAATACATATCATATTAATTTATAACATTAATGTGAGTATCTTAAAGTTTGTCTTATTCTACACGTTTCCTTATTTTTTTATGGTAAGAAAATATTTTGCAATTTAATGCAATTTGTTATCAGCCATTGACATCTTACAAATTGACAATGATAATGACAATCGTGTATTCCAGAGTTTAAATGGTTTAAATGTATTTAATTAAGCGACTCTAGCCTTCAGTACAGTGGCTTGATTTAGGTAAAATAATTTGCTCAACAATTACTAAATTATGTACATACATAATAAAATAATTAAATCATAAAAGATGTAAACAATTAAGTATTGTTGCGATTAAATAAATGCTTGCGGTCATATATTTTTTTAAAAACCATAAATTTAATTTAATT